GTTTTTAAAATTTTTGTGTGTCTGTCTGTCTGTCTGTTACCGCATCACGAGAAAACCACTGGAAAGAATTTGATGAAATTTGGTATGATGATAGCTGGTGGTTATCTGGGTCAACATATAGGATACTTTTTACCGCGGGAAAATATCTCATTTCTGAAAAAAAATACAATATGGTTAAAATGTATTTAAAACCAAATTGTTCCTACAGTTTGTACAAGAAAATAGCATAATACCTATGTATTATATATATTAAGGTAGTGGTAGCCCAGTGGTAAGGCGCTTGCTTGGAAAACCGAATGATGCGGTTCAAATTCCACTTGCCTTACGGTAAAGGAAAACATCGTGGAAACCTGCATATTTGAGAAAAGTGAAAACCTAGCAAGTTTTCGAAAGACATGTGAAGTTCGCGATCCCGCACTTGGCCAGCGTGGTGGACTATGGCCTGATCCCCTCGTATTGAAAGGAGGCCCGTGCCCAGCAGTCGGACGTTAAAAAAAAGAACTGAACATAATGCTATAACGCTTAAGTACTATCCTAAAGAGTATGTAAATTGATGATGTCACTAAAGCAACATAAAAATTGTTTATTGACAATTAACTAAGAATATGCCGATGTATATAAATGGTTTTACCCATATTGATAAGCAATCTGATCTAAAAGTGTCATTCGGCCAAGTTTTAAAACCGTTATAGGCTACGCAAATGTTAATAATACTAATGAGTTTTAATTTCATGGATCAAATTGAAATATTACTAACTAATTTGTTTTCTTTTATGAATGTAATCAAAATAAAATCAAAATAATGTAAAAAAAGAATAAGGTATGTCCTCCTTCTACAATGGAGCAACAGGTTGTCACTAAACTGTGAAATAGGCTTCGAACTCGATTTATCAGGTAGTAACTAGGAAGCATCAGCATAGAATATTAGTTTATTAGGTATTACGCAACAATTCACTAAGTAACATATAATACCAATCTTAAATTCCAGGGGTCACTGTTTTTAAAGACCTATAGCCGGTTTTACAATTCGAATTGTAAAGGTGGCATTCATATATTTGCATGTGAATTTGCTGTCCGGCAACCACAGAGTACATTGGTATATACTCCGGCAACCACGTGCCTGTTCGGCTATCGAACGCCGCCGAGACTAGCATATTGATAAAGCTGAGGGTCTTCCAACGTATTTTACTCAAGACTTTATAAATTATACCAATCGTGAGTTTTATATAGAATAGTCTTCAACTATTGAAATATGTAACTGTAATACTTTTTAACTGTGAAAATCTAAATCAATAGTTTGTTCATCAGAAATTATAAAATCGTTGTTTTGTAACTAAAAGGTTTGTTAATACACTTATATAAAAAAGTTACCAATGCACGTTTAAGCACTGACATAAAAACACGTTTAAGCACTGTTAGAAAGCAAAATAAGCTCGTAATAGGTTTTCCCGTAATCCTATTTATATTTACTTATAGGACTTCATTTCATTAACAGCTTTATAAAATTTATAGTTCATTGAATGCCATTAATCCATACAAAACATCATCACAAAGACGGGCTATTTATTTGTAATTAATTACGTCTGTCGTCAGCCTAATTATTTTTTATCGCTTACATATCAGGGATATTTATTATTATAATGGTCGCTTCAAACGATTTTATTCTATATCAATGATTTATATATTATAATATATGTACTTTTAAAGCACTATTAGGTACATTGGAGATAATACATAAATAACAGACCGTACAGAAATGGATGAACAAAATCATAGTGACCTAAAGCACAATAATAAAAAAAGTTATATTTTTTGAATTTTAAGCTGTAGGTAATTAGGTACTAATTACCATCAAATATGTATAGTTGTATCCGCGAATACACTTACTTCAAGACAGAAGTGTGTTATATAATATAAAGTGTGATCGCGGTTTCAGCCGTCGACATTTATTCACAATAAATTATATATAAAAAAATACATAAACAAACCCAGTACAATAACAATAACATATAACAGACTTTAGTCCTTATTCAGTATTCATTATTAAATTAGATCACTATAATAACAAAAGCGTAAGATGTCTTAATTTCTTTACTTTAACAGCCCTGTGTCACGGTAAAATTACATATACATTACCGTGCCTGTGTGTAGCGGAATGCTCAGTGCAATATTTATGTCTAACACACCGCAACGTTTGTGTACAAATAACGTGTTGTACGTTATGCAGTATACCTAACAGTTTTTCGAGCACCATATACCTACTGTTATGTAAACGGCGTGCTCCGAGTATTCAAACTGAATAAATAATCAGTTTGTCGATAAATACAGCTACTTATATTTTAAGAAATAAGGATCAATATTGAAAGTCAAATTAAAAGGCAGACAATCAATACAATGCATAATTTGCTTTGATGTTAAAATTATATATTCAATAATAAGCTTATCACTTACATTTATCCCGTTAAATGTCTACCAGGCTCGTGCGGTATTTACTGAAGTTATATAAGCATAAGGTACTTTTATCATTTTTGGAATTTACAAAGTACACACATATTCAATAACTAGCGACTTACGGTAAGTTTTAATTTTTTTGAGCGGAACCCTAATTCTTTTTCTAAAACAAAAGTAGCCTATGTTACTCCCTATAACACCAGCTATCTTCTAGTGAAAGTCCCGTCAAAATCAGTCCAGTCGTTTCAGAGATTATCCGGAACAAACAGAAAGACAGACAGACAAAAAATTTAAAAAAATGTGTTTTTTTTATAAGTACTTTATATAATTTCATTTGCATTTAGTAAAACGCTGTTATTTTGACATTACAAACAGACACTTCAATTTTATTTATCTGTATAGATTATAGTATTAAAAGAGATACTTTTGACCAATTGTAATTTTTCCTTTTTTTTAATTAATATTAGGTATTCGTCGAGATTAATCAACTGAATGCAAATTAAAGTCTTATTGAAGAGTTCCACTATCGACCGGCTGGTGTCATCAGCTCGAATCGATCAGTTCGATTGTATTAAATTATTGTATTGCCATCCCGAAATTACATATTAACAAAATTTCGAGATCATACGACTAGATATGTCCATACTAGATATGTGAACCCAATTCTAATTGTCGTGAGATTTAAAAGGTTTTAGAAGTCTTGATCACAAATAGAGAATAAGTAACACTGTACATATTAAAGGATTTATTTTAAATGTTATATATACAAAATAATATTTTCATATACTTTCATATTTGCGGTATAATCTTCATTTAAGTGTTTGTCGATAACGTCTAAATAATAGCTAATGTATACGTAACGGAAATGTATATATCTAAGTCATCTTATTTTTTTAAAGAAACGCTTAAAACACTGTAATAGTAGCACTATAATAGTAGGGGCATTTATTTCTAAGATGAGCACGAATGTTTGTACTCCAGTCATGGGTGTATATCATATTTATAACATATATGTATTTAAAGTTACAATATATATGTGTAGTGTATCAACTATGGATGGAGAAATATGGAACTAGATGGAGCTGTGCGTTAATAACCTAACATATTTAAAAAAAAATTACATATACCGCATCTTGGTTATCGACTCTACAAAAACGTTACTCTATTTGCCGTTTATCTCGCGCTAAAATAAAGCTTGGTGGGCTAGCTTAGCAATTTGATTCTCCAAAAAAAGTAAGGTCGACATTCCTCTTTTTATATGACATAATGACTTTTTAAGAAAATCGTTAAAACAAATTTATAATGCTTTTAAAGTAATAAAAGCTACTCTTGGTGCTGGAATTTATTTTTTGAACTCAAAGCTAAAGTATACCTACCCATAAATGAACCAAAAAAATCATTCGAATCGGTTGCAGTTCCCATTCACCTCCAGGTAAATTCCTAAGAAATTAATTAAAATTATAAGAAATCTATTGTTAACTGACACGCCGGCGTGTCCGCGGTCGTGGAAGGATTAACGAAGTTACAGCTTAATAAATACACAATATAATAATTATTATCATTTTAGTTTATTTTACTAAGACGCTCTCTTTCGCCTCAAAAAATTTATCATGTTGGTATCATATCTGATTTCAGCTGACAACAATTCGCCCGTCTGTTATGCGGTTTTGTTCCAAGATTTTATTTCTAAGCAGGTTTAAACATAAATAGATGTGAGTAGGTTGCTTAAGATTTTTTTGAAATAGATGATTATAAGATATTTAAATCTTCAGACATCTACATTTACGTTATATAAGCGAGGAATAATAATTCGTTTCTGGGGTAAAAAGTTTAAAACTATACCTAAAATAATTAAATGGTCCTATCAAAACCTTTCTTTTTTAACGCCATTCCCGATTGATTCCCCATACAACCTTTGTCCTTCCCAGGTTCTCAAACTATCTTCTTACCAAATTCCATCTAAATCGGTTCAGTAGATCCAGAGATTATCCCCTACAACGTCACAAACTCACAATTCACAAACTTAACCTCTTTATTATATTAGTATAGATTAGAAATGAAATTACCTTATGTACGTTTATCTTAAGTAAGTTTTATTCCGTTTTAAACAATATACAAAACACGGATAGAGTCAATCGTTGAACTCTATTATACGCAAGAAAACGCTCCGTCGTAACCTGATTACGTCGAATTAAAAACATTAATTTAAATAAATTAATAATTATTTTAAGTAAGTAAATTTTAAGGTGTTAAAAATTCTTTTTTTTAATAATCAATAATAATTTTACACTAATAAGGAGTACTTATTATTTTTTAACATATATCCTAATAAATATTTACCAACATATTGAATTTTACTATACAAAAATTTGGAATAATAAAAGCAGTCTGCTATGGTTTTACAAAACTGCGGTTTTTTATTCCCAAAAAGAAGCCGACTCTGTTCGCAGATGAAAAGAATCCGCATATAACTGAGATGCCAATTGAGAAGCTTCCTTTCTAACATTGAATGGAAATGCGTCCCTAAATAATACCGCTATTAAACGTACCGGTGGCCCGCAGTATCACTCCACACCACTTTCTAATCAAAAAAAGTTTACACAACACAACACACACGACACAGTGAAACACAGTGTACGATTTCGTCCAGGTCTCGTTTAAAGTTTCTCAGGTATGTATAGGTTGTTGACACGTATAGTGTAGTAGGAATACGTGAATGACGTGTGAACGCGACGCGCGATACTGACGGAGTGGCAAGCCAAGCCAACCGGTCTCAGATTTCTCCCTGTAAACATCGAAAGCGAGCCTTCAAGCCTTTCTTCGCGGCGAAACGCATCAACTATCCCGTACTATGGTAACTCATTCAATACTCACATTTACATAAGCTAACCTAGCATTTTTGATAACATTTAAATAAAATACAAAGTTAACATATTTTTAATTTTGTTGGATAAAATTGTTAAAAAAATGAAATATTTAAAATTATTTTCTTGTGTTTTTATTTTCATTTAAAGACAATAAAAATACTATCTCTACTACTACTAGTTTATTTTTTACAAAAAATAAATTTACGATCATATGTATCTTCATACAGAAAGTGTGTTATAAGCTAACCCTACCATTTATACACACAAAATGTATGCCGTAAAACATTCATAATTAGTTATGCAATTTAAGTAATACGAACAAATAGTAAGGGACGTTAAAGGCTTTCTTTTGACTCATAAAACGTTCGATGACGTCCGCCCCGTCAGGATGTAAGTAACGAAATCGGTCAAGGTATAAACTTCGACGCAACTTGGTAGTTGAGGATACAGCGTGATTCAATTACGACCTTACAACATCATATTTAGAGAAGCTCTATAAATGGTATACCCAGATTTGGTCACTGTTCCGAAAGCCTAATCTATACCTACGCAAGTAAATTGCTAATATATATGATACATATTTAAATTTATTCTTTTTACATAATAAAGATGAAAACTAGTATTTCTATTGGTATTTATAATATAACCCGCTGAGATGTGGTCATAACTTGATCCCAAGTATTTTTTTTATCGTGATTTTAATACATTTTTTTTTGTTTAATTTAGCAATGCTGCCTGTGTACTAGATGTAATTGGTACTTTTACTAAAACTAGTCGTGTCTACTAAGATTTTAAGATTAACATATTATAATTAATAATGTACTTACAATTTACAGCTGGTAATTTCCATAAAATAAAAATATATAAACACACGATAAGAAGACGCTAAAAAACGTATTTTATATAAAGTACTTAATAGCTTATACCTAGGTTTGCTATATATACAAAACTATATATAATACTTGGGTAATAATTAGATGATTTATAAGACTGCTAGCATAGCATTTAATACACACCATCAAAAATAAAGTCAATTCTTAGCGCTTCAAATTTGGTGACCATTTGCAACATTTTCTTAGAAATGCCTCCCAACTTGTTTGGAACATTTTTCATGGTGTGTAATAAATGCTATACTATAAATGTATAAAAATATATAAAAATCAGCTTTTATACTATAACGTAAGTAGAATTATGATTTCATGAAAAGGGTGTCTGGCAAGGGTTTGCCACGATGTTAAGTGTCTGGCATTGAATGACGTAATTTTTAATAATATTCTGAAGGTAATACCAAATAATCACACTTTATTATTTGACTAATTTAGATCGGTATTTTACACACCTTTAGTACCGTGTACCTGCTAAAGCCACCATAGCCTGAACTTCATAATGGTCCATCGTTCTTATCTGTGCTGGGAGCATGCGCTGACAAACTTTCAGCTTTTATAAACTGACGAAAGTCTGGCGTTCACAGGCTCTTAGGCCATAAGGCAATGAATGGGTCATGTTTAGTTAGTACTCTAGTCGACCTCGCCAGAATAACGTAGTTTTGTGAAAAACCAGGAACATATGTGTGAAAAGTAGATACGTACTTCTTAAATGTTGTGCTAAACTAAATTTATATCATAATTGTAAAAATAATTAATAGAACAATTGCTATTCGAACCATTAAAATGTGTTCCACTTACAACATATTTTCATAAATTTCCATATGAAAAACTAAACAACAGTTAGGTACTCATTGTTATATGTTGATATGTATGCGTGAATATATACTTGTGGTCATATATTACTCGATTATTTTAATTTTGTTAATATTAGTAAAGTACTGGTTTCACCTAATTATGTAAGCATTATCCTATGTACAATACGGTAAAAATACTATTTATTTAATATAGATATTAATGAATGAATCATGCAATCAGATATTGATACCAAATTGGCATAATATATATACTTATGCTCTTGACTGTACTAGAAACATCCATACTAATATTATAAATGTGAAAGTGTGTTTGTTTGTTTGTCTTTGTTTAACGTCAAAACGGAGTGACGGATTGGCGTGATTTTTTGTGTGGAGATAGTTGGAGGACTGGAGAGTGACATAGGATACTTTTTACCGCGGGAGATTATGTAATTCCCACGAAAAATCACGTTACACCTATACAACTCAAAAAAAATTTTTTTGTATTTTTAGCGCGAGCGAAGCCGCGGGTTCCGCTAGTATTACATACGACTTAAAGATATTTAAGAACTAGGTAGATAAATATTAATAATTAATTTGTATTATAATAAATTATACCGTAACCAAAGCCGCTTTCTGTAAGCCCCTAGGAAAGTTAACGTCATAAAAGTGACCCTCAATTATTTTCTTTCACCTTAGGCATATTTAGTCACGCTAAGCGTGTTACGAGCGTATTTAACTAATGACCTTCGGTTAGACTTATAGCAATCTTAGACACGATAATTACATTAAAGAAAAGGTTTCTATACTAAAAAGATTAACGAAGCATTGCTTCTTATTCCAAATATCTTGAAAGATATTTAAAAGTATCAAGCAGTGTGTAAACAAGCCGCGGCTCGCATTGTCTTGTCTATTTATTCACGTGGTTTACGATTTCATTTCTGAGCACAATAGGAGGATATAACGCTCAGTTGTTTTGAAATATCCTAATAGAGGTACTTATACAAGTATGGCATGTGTGTACGAATTTTAAATCTTTACAAGTGATAGTAATCTAGCTAGGATTGGTTCCATAGTGTAATAGTTAATCTGTACGCCTAATCTCTTTATTATATGCATCCTTTTATCGACTAATGTAACATTTTTATCCATACTTACTAATATTATAAATGTGATTGTGTGTTTGTTTGTTTGTCCTTTCTTCACTTGGAAACGGAATAACGGATTGGTTTCATTTTTTGCGTGGAGCTGGAGACAGTTAAAGGGCTGGAGAGTGACATAGGCTACTTTTTACCGTGGAAGATTATCTCATTCCCACGGGAAAACACGTTATAATACAAACCAAAAAATATTTATGATCAGAATAACTTGAAACTTGCTCTTCAATACAATTAAATAAATACGAGTTTTAGAATTTTTCGAAATTCATCCCATAAGGGGGTACAATAGGGCATGTAAATTTGTATGAAACCTACCTTTTAAGAGTTTTTTTGTAGTTTTAGCGCGAGCGAAGCAGCGGGTTCTGCTAGTAATATATCATTTTATACATAATACTTTTTAACTACATATTTGTATATTTAAATAATATAATAACAATCACTTCTTTCGTCTTATGCTTCTAATACAATAGATTTTTTGTCACGTATTTAATAGAATCTATGCTTCGTATACCTATATATACGAATATCGGTGCACTTGATGAATGACTGTTAACTGGAAGTAACTAACAAAATAAGAAACAAAAAGCCAACGTCACGCGGTGTTCCCAGGCGGTCACCCATCCAAGTACTGACCGCGCCCGACGTTGCTTAACTTCGGTGATCGGACGAGAACCGGTGTGTTCAACGTGGTATGGACGTTGGCTACAGAACACATCAAACGATCGAGCGCTTAGAGAGTCGCCGTTAGCTTTAGTGGAAGCAACAAACAAAACGAGAAACAAAAAGCCAACTTCACGCGGTGTTCCCAGGCGATCACCCGTCCAAGTAGGTCCTGATCGCGCCCGACGTAGCTTACTTTGGCTGCTCTTCCGAAATTGAATTTGCTATTAGTAAAGTTTTTTGTGATGGATTGAGTAAGGTAGTGTGATTAATATAATATTATGTTTATTATCTAAACGTAAGACCATAATGTTTATGTTATTTTATACTGAATAATTAATATTATGTAAAATTGAAGCAAATTTATACGCCTTATACAAAAATATAGCCAATGTTATTAAGAGTGTCTATTTTTTTGTATTTATTATCAAATAAAACAAGGGTGTACAATGTACATTTTCTATATACAGGCGTTTTATACCTATACTATAAGCGCCAAAAGCGATACCGATAACCGAATCTGTTTCTTTTATAACTAATAATAATTATTATTGATACTCTTTTTCGGAGTTCAAACATCTACATTTAATTCTGTATTAAGCTATGCTTAATTAGTTATGTCATACAAAAAAGCGGGTCTAAAATTTGGTCTAAAAATTTGAAAAATTATCTTCAAATTTCTACTATTTAACTATATTTAATATTACATAGAGGTAGAGTTTGTTTGTTTGTATGCGCTAATCTCAGAAACTACTAATCCGATTTGAAAAATTCTTTTTGCATTACATAGCCCGTTTATTGAGGAGGCTATATTGTTGAAGTTGGGATAGCCGAACTAAAACAATTCAATGATTAATTTAATCCTTCTCTTTTAATATGGTTCTTCGCAATCTTTTAGCGTAAGCACAATGCACATCACTCAAAAAAAACTACGGGAATAGCGCGTTGACATTTTCTTGTCTTCGGTTTTATAGAATTTTTAAGTAAGTATATGTTAAACAATTTATATTTCCTATTCTCATCTATTTCAGATAAAAGTACTTGTATCGTACATAGTTAATTAATATATGAATTTACTAACAATGCTATTATTTATTAGAAAACAATAAATTATTAAATTAATATTAGTGGCGCCAACCCATGGCGTCATTTAATATTCCGAGTTCTATTAGAAAACAAATCATCTACTATTTTTCCATAAATGTTAATTTATGTTAAAATTAAATATGATATATTATGTTCACGACATTATTTACAATTGAATTTAAAAGGAAAGTGATAATTGTCAACTAATTATTATTGAAATCAAATGATTAATTCAATACATAAAATAAAATTCTAACTAAGCCGAATCTGTACATTAAATATTTTTTGGAAAATCTTATTGCAATAGACATTATTATCGATACAGAGGCCGAATCTATGTTTTAGAATTTTTGTCTGTCTGTCTGTTGCCTCATCACGGAGAAACCACTGGAGGGATTTTGATGAAATTTTGTATGATGGTAGCTGGTTATCCGGGTCAACATAATATAGGATACTTTTTACTGCGGGAAAATATCTCATTTCTGAGAAAAAATACAAAAATTACAATATAAGAGTATACTAATATGTAAAACTTAAATTGAATTTAAATTTGGATTTTGGTCATCTAAACGCGGGCGGGAGCCGCGGGCAATGCTAGTTAGCATTAAAAGTAAAGGTGGTGGCGACATGTAGTGACACCTATTATCTCGACCGTAAACTACTTCTTGACTGAAGGTTGTAACAATATATATATCATACTAAGCGGCACACACTCTTTGCTCGGTTTCGTCGCTAGGTACGTTTTAAATAGTTATTAGCCAGTTTTAACCATGTAATTTTTTTTAGAATTTTGTTCGATGTTTTAATACTTATTATAATATTCCGGACTTATAGAAATCCAAAAAATTTAATATCATAAAAATTGGTCCAGCTGTTCTCGAGTTATAAATGGTGTAACTAACACGACTTTGTTTTGTACATATATAGATAATATATAGTCTATCTATTCCATATTAATTACTAACCGTTAAAACGTACATAGGGATGAACCAGACCAAAGCGAAGTTGAGTCACTAGTACCTACTCTACTTGTACACAGTGTCTCTCTACTCATTTTTTTATGCATATTCAACCCCTTTTTTGACTACAGACAGTAATTAATTAATGACTTCCTGTCAGATTCGGTCACGACGGCTAATTTCACTTGGAATAGCCATCTGAACAAGGGATACTTTAGTGCATGAGTGTCATTTTCTTAAGAATATGAAAGTCGACACGACCGGTGAAAGATCAAGCGTTGGACCGTCGGCTACGCTTGCTCTCCGAAGTACGGGGGTGAAATAAGCGCCAAATTCTTTACTCATGGCTGTAACCGAGAATTTCTTGACAGAAAAACTTTATGACAATCGGCTATATTCACCATACAACTAGGTAGGTAGTGGATTTTTGGATTTTATTCTTTGGTTCGACTTAACGTCACATCATAACACCACTTTTTGAAGAAATGAGTGCTTCTCTACTTCTGGTTAGGAGCTGTGTATCTATAGTTTTATATATCAATGCTATTACATAAAAATCTCTCATGATCAAAAATAACAATTAGGTGCATAATAATTTAGTAATAGGTATTTAATATATTGTAAAAAGTAAACACAACAACAGATTTTTAATGGTTTCATATGAAGAAGTCATATTGCTTTAGCAATAATTTTAAATAATATTTATAATTTTATTTTGATAATATATACGCACTTGTATATTTTTGTTTAAATAATTGGATTTCAAAATTGCTAGCCGGACTTACAATTAGTCCGATCACCGAAGTTATGCAACATCGGGCGCGGTCAGTACTTAGATGGGTGACCGCCTGAGAACACCGCGTGACGTTGGCTTTTTGATTCTCGTTTTGTTTGTTGCTTCCACTAAAGCTAACGGCGACTCTTTAAGCGCTCGATCGTTTGATATGTTCTGTAGCCAACGTCCATACCACGTTGAACACACCGGTTCTCGTCCGATCACCGAAGTTAAGCAACGTCGGGCGCGGTCAGTACTTGGATGGGTGACCGCCTGGGAACACCGCGTGACGTTGGCTTTTTGTTGATATTCTGTACCTAATACTTTTTTAAAAAAGATCGCTTTTAATTCTTCATATTATGCCTTGACGCGCATGAATTATTACTTCTAATTTAAAAATAATGAAGCACATTAAATAGCTTTCTTTAATACAAAATCTTTAATTCTTTTTCTAATTTGACAACAAAAATAATAATTTATTTTATATACCAGTTATTTAACTTGAACATTACTTTGGTATGAAAAAGGATTATGGAAAGAAATAAATTAATAAAAAGCATATAATATAGCAATAAATTTATTTAGAGATCTACTCCATTAAATTAAAAATACCAAAGATAGTAGAATATAACACACAACAATTTACCAATACCATTCATTCTATCATTGAATTGCAATACAAATTTAGCATAGTCTAATTTCTATAATACAAAGGCACATAATGTTATTTCATAGACAATAATAGGGATAATAGGGCTTTATATATTAAAATCATGAATCAAAAATTGTGTTTTATTCAGTCTGAAACAAAAATAAAACGTTTAGTTTGGTGAATGATAAAAAGTAAATAAACATGCATAAACATAACTTTACTTCCCCATACAAACTTTCACCCCCTTTTCACCCCGTTAAGGGATGATTGAATCCGTGATAAAAACTATACTATGTCCTTCCCAAGGTCACGAACTACGAATCTTCTTTCCAAATTTTACCTAAATCGGTTTAGTAGTTTTGGAGCCTATTCGATACAAACAAACAAAAGAAGAAAATTTCTCCTCTTTATAATATTAGAAGATAGAAGAAGATAATACAAAAATAATAACTAAATAAAACAGACGTAAGAAAAATAATAACAGCAAAAAAAATTATACCTTCACAATATTATCTTTAGCGTCATTATTTGCCGCAACTTCTGGGAAAAAATAGCTTTTCTTTTTCTTTACAAATGTAGCATCAAGGTGATGATCTCTGTAAAAAAAATATTATTTAAATTATACCATTCAAACTTTAATTACAATAAATTACTGCTAAAACAACGAAACAATACAAATCTAAGACGAAGGAATCACATCAACTAAAATTATAGTTCTGCATTACTAAATGAATGATTTTTATAGATAATAACACAAATAATTCTACATACAAATCCTACTTGCAATACAAAATTAACATAATGATTAATGGTAAAAAAGTACATCTATCTATAATATCTTGCAGAACTATGCACTTACAAGTGAATTTAAGTGCTTCCTTCCTCTTAAATATGTGCCAAATCCCAGATAAGTTTTTATAGAAAGTGTATTTTTCATGATGCCTTGAACAAAACAAATCATTATATGGCATATATGTACGTATATGTAACATTAAAAAATATACTTCAAAAACAGTAAGGGCATAGTCCGCAAAACTACAATACGATTTATTAGCTATTGCTCTGTTTCAGTCAGTTTAAAGATTGTTTTGAATTATACTTTAAGATCAATTGAAGTTGCATTTATATTTATTTAATTTTTAGAAATAGAACTTCATTCCATTAATAAAACCTAAATATTTATAACCTAAGATCTGAAGCTGATTCCTTACCTGTAAATAACAGGTGTTTAATTAATCTTGATTGAAATAAATTGATCAATTTATAAATAATTATATTATCAACTAGCGACTTAGCGCTACGTAGGCAGATTACAGTCAGTCAGGTTTAAATTTTTTTGCACGGGACTCACGTTTCTTCTTCCAAAATAAAAGTAGCCTAAGGTACTCTTCCTATAATATCAGCTATCTGCCAGTGAACGTCCCGTCAAAATTAGTACAGCCGTTTCAGAGAGTAGCCGGAACAAACAGACAAACAAAAAATTTAAAAATTGTTGTTTTCTTATAAGTACCGTATATACTTTCATACGCATTTTGTAAAAAAACTGTTATTTTGACTTTACAAACAGACACATCAATTTTATTTATCTGTATAGCTCATCACTTATCTAACACAAATTTCAATAAAACAACTATTTGCAGGAATCAGCAGCCAGTTCTTAAGCTATAGCTTTTAACTATAATGGAGGGATCAATCAAGTATAATTAAAAAACAAATAAGAAATTATATATAAACCTTGCATATACAAACACGAATTTTAAATCTATAATCATTTAAATTAAACCTGTAACATCAAGTATTTGAAAACGATCGAGATCACATTATATTTTGCAACATCCATTCCATAATGTACTATACTATCAGCACAATAACCAGATAAAGGAGCTATACACGAGTTATATAGTAGCAGTGCTAGCATCCACTGTGTTTGACTGTGTATCTGTAACCTTTTATCTAACAAACCATACGAAAATCTTGAAGTTTTATTTTGACGAGCTGTTATTTTTTGCAATTCTTCTAGTTCCTGCGATGTTTGAAAACTGGGCATTTTCATATTATTTAGCAAGATGTTTAATAAAATAGAAATGAGTGTTGTGTGAATGCTTACCGTTTATCAAAATAGGAAGAACGTGGTGTTGTGTTAAGTGAATGTTCGGTGCTGGACGGCTGTAACATAAAAATATATGTATTTAATTGTAACATTTTAAATAATATTATTCCTACTATAATTTAAATGCGAAAATATTAATCCAGTAAACATTAAAAATACCTTATCAAGGTTTTATTTATACTTGTACTTATGTACAAAAATGTACAAAAGTTCTTTAAAATATAAAGATAAGCATTTTTACATGTATTTTGTATATGTATTCTTACATGGTTTCTATGCTATCCATTTTTCTTCAAATCACCACAAAAGGACATAACGCCAATCGCTAAGAATACTTTCTCATAATACATTAACTCAAACAAAGCCACGGACAGAAGCTTATACATATATAAAAAAGCACAACAAATTAAAACCAACATTATTCTCCTTATCCTCACTATCGGAGGACACACGTCGCCTATTCTTGCACAGTTCCGGTTGACACCTGCACGAGCCTCCACAGCCCTTCTCCGACTTCACACATCCACACATCTTAGTGGAGCAACTCCCTCTGCAAGTGCAGTGCGGGGAGCCGTCGCTGCCGCGCTTCACGGCCCGCGCGGGGACCGCTGCGACCGCGGACGTGTCCGAGGACGTGTCAGCCGGTGTGAAGTTCATTGTGAGGCGGGATCGTTGTGCCTGGAACGTTTGTTTTAAGTTATATTAGAGGTCTCATTAGGTAATATTATATTAATTTAATAATAAATGGAACATCTGTAAGCAATGGCAAATTAAGTTTGTACAAATAAATTAAGCTTCCATTATTTTTTAAGGTTTTCTTTTGTTCGTAAGTATTTAATAATTACTCGTTTTTAAGTATAGTCGCCAAATTGTGTTTTATTATTGGTATATTTTACACATTTATACATTTTTATGTATCTACCGCAATGTATCACGCGAACGGAGCCTTGGGAAAAAGTAATCTTGTACAAATCGAATATATAAAATTCTCGTGTTACAGTGTTTGTAACAAAACTCCTCGCAACGGCTTGACCGGTTCTTGTGAAATTTTGTGTGTGTATTCAGTAGGCCTGAGAATAGGACGTAAGCTATTTTTCATACCAAAATATTTTTTTTTTTATGATTCGGCATTAAAAAATACATACCAACCTAAATTTTTAACTAGGGACGACGACGAGCGGAGCGAGAGTGAGTCGCTAGTATGTTATAAAAAGAAAGAAATACTTAAATAAAAATAACAATTTCAATGACATGTGACTAATGAATGGTTGCGTCATGTTTTTAAGGACAATATAATACAAAAATCTAATAATAAAATACATTTGTGTTCCACTCTTTACATAAGCCATTTATTCAGTATTTGTAGTCTTTTCGTTTCACATTATCCAAACATCCAAGGGAAATACTTCCCATTTATTTGTTACCTGAATACGTTTGAACAGTGGTGTAGCGCGCCAATCCGGATCCTTGTTCGGGTCTTCGAATTCATCGTCCTCTTCATCAGTGGGCTCTACATACTCGACGATTTTCAAAGTGTCAGAGTTGGTCTCTTTTTTAGATCGTTTCTTTGCTTTCTTGCCCGCATTCCGCAGCTCTTCAAGTTCATCTGCTAATTTTTTCTGAAAAAAAAGGGCAAGTTAATTTTCATGTGCGAATGATTTCTAACATGATTACCACTTGTCTTACGGTAAAGGAAAATTTCGTGAAACCTGCAGACCTGAGAGAATCTCGCAAGTTTTTGAAAGACATGTGAAGTCCACCAACCTATGTATATTTGGTCAGCGTGGTGGACTGAGCTGACTAAGCTGAATACTATATCAATCAACAAATGCACTACAGATGTCAAAATGAGGGTTATATTATATAATATTGTTCTATACCAATGAAGGCTGATTTATTAACTAGATAAATTTTATCTTTTGACTAAATTAGAACCTGACTAAAGATAAATCATACAATATAAATGATAAAACTATGATTTAATTAATTTAATTCATGCATTTTATTTAAAAATTTTAGTCCCTCCACGACCTTAAAATTTTAACTTTAGAAATTTAATTATTTTTTTAGAAATTTACCTGGAGGTGTTAGGTGATTATTTGAAAATATAAAAAAAAAATCTGCATAGTAGCATAAATAGTAAACCACACTACTATTTTAAACTTTGACATTAATATTGGCGGACCCCGTAGTAGTCCATACTAATATAAATGAGTGTGTTTGTTTGTTTGACCTTTTTTCACGTCGAAACAGAGTGACGGAAAGCCGTGATTTTTTGTGTGAAGATAGTTGGAGAGCTGGGGAATGACATAGGCTACTTTTTACTGCGGGAGATTATTTTATATAAACACGTTATAATACAAACCGAAAAAAATGTTTGTCATCAGAATTATTTGAAACTTGGTATTAATACTCTTCAGTACAAATTATAAATACGTGTTTTAGCATTTTTAGAAATTCATCCCATAAGGAGGTACTATAGGGGATGAAAGTTTGTATGAAACTACCTTTTTAGAAACTATTTTGTAGTTTTAGCGCGAGCGAAGCCGCGGGTTCTTGTCAGAGAGTAATACATACATTCTCCTGTTCCACCTGCTCGAGCCGGTCTTGCTGGTACTGGATGACGTTCTGCAGGTGCTTGCATGCCTCGCCGCGGTCGCCGCGCCCCACTACGCCGCGCTGGAGCGCCACCAGCGCGCTTAACTGGAATAATATTTTTGACTAGCGAAAAACAAAAACAAATCTATCCCTTGGAGACCGTATATTTTTCCGGGATAAAAAAATATTGCCTATGTGTTATTCCAGACTATATAATTTATCTATGTGCCAAATTTCGTTCAGATCCGTTCAGCCGTTCTGGCGTGAAAGTGCAACAAACATTCATACATACTTACAAACTTTCACATTTATAATATTTATACAGTTGTGCAACATCTAACCGTCTGTTGGCGTCGCCACGCGCTTGTAACTCTCAGATTCTTCCCATTTGTCTCGACGATTCCCTCCTCTCTCTCGCTGACCGCGTCGAGCTCGTATTTTAATTTTGGTATTAAATTAAGATGTATTTTTAAATAGACTGTTTCTTTAAAAGAAAACTGAATATTGTGTTTTTAATTATGTCATATTTACTGCCTTTAAAAAACCATCCTGTCATTCTAATTTTCTATACAAAATAGTTTCGATGTTGCACATCTGCCGGGCATCCCGTGACGGGCAACTTTTTTTATTATAAATATAAATTATCTTCAATTCAGTATTTTATTATTTAAGCTATTTGTCCGTTATTACATTATCTTACCATAAAACCTTTTTTTCATATTTTTAGGGTGTCATAACCAAAAAAAAAGCAAAGATTATTTCATTATACAATGGATGTATGTAGTCGTAATCGCAAACTTATAAACACATCTTTTTAACATCTATAGTTTCGAGTAATGCACGAAAATATACAGCAGTGAAATGAAACGCGTATATCCAATAGAAGTATCGTGCGTGCGAGCATCCATAACTCCGACAAACAGACCGAATGCAAACTAATTTACAGTAAGTAAATATAGTTACTGACCTATGGTAATAAAACTTGGAAATCCATTGGATTTAAAAATGGGAAACTAACCTAGATAAAACTCTTATTGATAACAAAATTGACTCCTAATTGATAATAAAAATATATCCTCTGTAAAGGAAATAAGAAAGAAAGTTTCTTTGGACTTGTCACTATTTATATACAAAAATATAAAATAATCAAATCTAATAACATACCTTCTGTTCATTTTGTAGTTTTATAGACGCAAGTTGCCGTTCAAATTCTGTTTTGTTACTATCAAATTCCACCATAAGCCTGTCGTAGGATTCTTTAATCTCTTCATACCTCGCCTGGTAACCTTTCTCACTTTGGTTTTGTAGTTCTCTCTTGGAATCAACCAGTAACTCAAATAGGCACTTAAGTGCTACCTTGGCTTCGAGCATTGATTGTATATTATCCCATTGGATACGAGATTTGTTTTCTAGAACAAAATAAAATTATACTGAAATATTAAATTAAATATATTACTTAACTAAAATTATACGTGAACTAACTGAATACTCTCTTTCTAAAGTCCTTTGAATGAAACACAAGGATCATAAAAGCAGAACCATAAAGTAGTAAAAAATAGTATATAGGTACTTAGTATGTTATATTATGTTAAATATGTTGGGACACAACACACAGTAGTAGTATATCTAGCTCCATGGTAAGCTACGAGGCTTATGTTATGGATACCAGATAGTTGATACACTACACATATATAACTTTTAAATAAATACATATTATAAATATAAACACCCATGACCGAAGTACAAGTATTCATGCTCATTACACAAATAAATGCCCCCGGCGGGACTCGAACCCGCTAGCACAGCAAGTAGGGTCACTACAAACTAAGCCAAATGCGTCGTCGAATGTTCTTATATTATAACTAGCAGCTCACCCTCGCTTCAGTCGGGTTGGTCGCTAGGTACGTTTTAAATAGATATAAATAGTTATTAGCCAGCGTTAGCCATATAAATTTTTTTTTTTTTTGTTAATAATATTGACAAATATTGACATTAATATTTATACGATACTAACGTCACTCAATTGTTTTGCTTTCCCGTAACCTCTCCACTAACACTTAAACTTTATGGTATAGTATTAAAGTTCAAATTGATTTTTAAGTATTATTACGAATCTTTTGTATGGGAGTATAGAAAAGTGTTGTTTCTAGACTTTTTCAGGCAATTTTTTAAATTTTTCTCTCCGTTAGAACCATCTTAGTACTTCAAGAAATATTCTAAAAAAAGAATTAGCGAAATCGGTTTAGCTGCTCTGGAGATTTGCGCTTACCAACATATTCAGCGATTCATTCATTTTTATATAATAAGATTTACGTCTTTTTTAAGGCTGTGCATAATATAATTGTATGAACACTTACCCTGATCAGCGGTCAAAATCTTTTGTTGCAAGTCAGATATTTGCGCCTTGCGTAAAGCGAGGTCGTCTTCAAGTTCCGCAATCTTCTTCCTATTGGCCTCATCGTCGGGGCTACTACGAAGATTTTCTATTTGTTCTGTTATCCACGCCCTAGTCGTAAGAAAAATAAAAAGTATATTTTTTTGTAATTTAAATATTTGAACTGCTAGATTTGAACAAAAAGGTGGTTGAGTGCGTGGGTGGTCCTGCGACGCCCCATTAACACGGGGGAAGTTCTGTTGGGTTTTAGTGGGTAGTACAAGCTTTTCTGACCAGTGAGTCCCACATAACTAACTGTTATGATGTATGAGCAGGTGATATGAGTAAATGCATTTCTCAACATTAAAAAAAAAGAAAAAATGGACCACGTTACCTGTATTCCATAAGTTCTTCCAAAGATTTCTCAGCCTCCACAATACTGAGCTGCACTTCCAACTCCTGCTCGATGTACTGCTGCACCGCGCCAGCCTTCACGCTGCCTTTTGCGTTTCTCTTCATTGCAGTATGTTTTTGCCTATCTAAAGCTTCCTGGAACACATAAATGAATAATTTAATATAATATAAATCTCTAAATAATATACAACTACTCTAAATAAATATTTAACTTAATAAATCAAATCTACACTACTATTATAAAGAGGAAAGATTTGCATTTTTGTATGTTTGTAATGAATAAACTTAAAAACAACTGGATCGATTTAGATGAATTTTTTTATCCCGGAAATCATCCCTTAAGGGTATGAAAGTTTGTTAGGGAATTAACTTAGGGACAAACCGGAAAGAAGCGAGGGTGAGTCACTAGTTTTAGATAAACTCACGTGGCTTGGTGCTTCCGTGGGTAAATATTGAAATACCTTAAAGTATCTCTATTTATCATTTATAACTTTTATTTACTTTTCGTACACAATTTTAATGCTTTTTATTTATTTACAACTAGCATTGCCCGCGGCTCCGCCCGCGTTCAGGTGACCAAAAACCAAATTCTTAGGCTTTACATATTAGTATACTCTTACAATGCAATTTTTGTATTTTTTCTCAGAAATGAGATATTTTCCCGCGGTAAAAAGTATCCTATATGTTGATCGGGATAAGCAGCTATCATCATACCAAATTTCATCAAAATCTGTCCAGTAGTTTTCTCGTGATGCGGTAACAGACAGACAGACAGAAAGACAAACAAAAATTCTAAAAACTATGGATTCGGACTCTGTATCGATAATAATGTCTATTTCAATTAGATTTTCCAAAAAATATTTAATGTACAGATTTGGCTTAGTTAAAATTTTATTATCAAGAGGTATACTTTGAAAACTCAGAGGTAGGATAATCTCTGAAACTAATGCTTTAATTCTGAATTTTCTTTCACTAATAGGAAACCTCATTACAACAACAATACAATATAATATACACCTTGAGCCGTTTATTGACCGCGACGGCCTCCTCCATCTTGCGCTTGAGCACGTTCTGCTGCTTGGCGTGCAGCGACTCCATCTTGGCCATGGCGGTGGCGCGCTTCCGGTCCTCGTTGCGCAGGCGCAGCAGCGCTCGCTCGCTGTCCGCCTTCCACTTGCGGAACTTCTCGCTCTCCTCGCGCATCTGCCGGATTATCTTCACCTGCGGATTTATAATAAAACGGTTTAAAGTTTATATTAAAAAAAGTCTATTTGTAACGCATATTGTATAGGTCAATAAATATTTGTTTATTCTCATTTCATAGTAATACTTAAGGCAAGCAGATTTCCTTTATAATTTCATGGGTTTCATTTTTTTGCGCGTAAACATTATTCTTTTTGTAAAATTAATGTAGCCAAGTTAGTCCTTACAACATCAGCTATCTGCGAGTGAAAGTCCCGTCAAAATCAGTCCAGCCGTTTCGGAGATTTCGGAGACAGGAACGAACAGACAGACAAAAATTAGAAAAAAAATGTGTTTTTCGTATAAGTACCGTAAATCATTTCATATTCATTTAAGTAAAAAGCTGTTATTTTAACATTACAAATTGACACTTCAATCTTATTTATCTGTATAGATTGGTTTATGTCTGATTCACGATTTCCTTTCAAAATTTAAAGCTATTGACTATATTAAAATTATTGAATAGTTTATTTCTTTTCTCGCAATGTATAACACTTGCCTTAGTAGACTTCATAGCTTGTAACTCAGCATTGAGGGAAGCAATCTTAGCCTCGTTTTTCTCCTTCATCTTAATGATATTGGCTTGTTGCTGGCATTTCTTCTTCAAATCGCTTATCTCAGACTCCAGAGTCGACACCTTATTTCGTCGCTCTTCGTGGGATGGATCTTTAGTCTGAACAAGAAGAAACATTGAATTGTAACAAACGTTCTAGTACTTTAATGCTAGATGATAGTTAACGATTGTGAGAAGTTTCTGCATAACACATAATCATTATTTTTATTTAGAACTAAAGAAAAATGTATACGAAAAAAAAATATATGAAGAAAACAAATGTGTAGATAGTCCCTCATAGATTATGGGTGAATCATAAAAAGAAAACTATATGTTAATATAAGCCAACTCGCACTTGGCCAGCATGGTGGACTATGGCCTGATCCCCTTCGTATTGAAGGGACGCCCGTGCGTAGCAGTGGGACGTTAAAAAGGGCTGAATACATGTTAATATATTGTGTGAAAGGAAGCTTACCTTGGATTGCTTCAATTGTTGCAATAATTCATCCCTTTCCTTTTCTAATTTAGATATTTTCTCTTCATTTTCTTTCAAATTATTATGTCCGTCTAGCATTTCCTTGTTGCTAGCAAGTATAGCTTGGACCACAGACGCCTTGATGGCCATAGCACGATTGAGCTCTTGCAATTCTTGATTTAACGCCACCTAAAATTTATTTACAAAACTTGTAATTATACTTTAAAAAATTAGACAAGTGCGAGCCTGATTTGCAATACGAGTGTTCTGTAGAATGACACATTCTTTACGACTTTAGAAGCATATTGGTGACTCAACTTCGCTTCGGATTTGTCCCTAGACAAAAATCTATCCCATGGGACCCGTACATTTTTCCGGGATAAAAAGATCGTTTCAGCCATTCTAGCATAAAAGAGTAACAAACATCTATCCATCCATTCTCACAAACTTTCACATTTATAATATTAGTAAGGATAACTTTGCAGTTATTGGCTTAAACAAAAAAGTTACTTTGATATAAATTTCCTATCAGTATAATATGAAGATAAAAAAAATTACCCTCCACTTACGTATATGGAGTGCCACTGCAAGTTTTTTTATAGTTTTTTTATAATTTGAATACACTGATGTCTAACAATGTACATAGGACATCTACCTATCAAATCTAAGCAATGTTTGAATAGTATTTAAGTAAATTACTTGTGGCATATAAATAGACGAAAATGGCGAAATTAAAAGGGTTCCATTTTAGCCATTATGCTATGGAACTTTAAAAAACATAATAATTTCATTTGAAAATAAAAATTATTACAGAATCTATGTTAATTCAAATCAATTATTTTTATTCAGCACTTTACTGAACATACGCCATCAGTTTGGATAGACAAAGCTTCCGGAAATGATGAATAAATCTCAGCAAGACTAATATTATTTTTTGACCAAATTCTAATAGGTACATATGAACCAGAAATATCTATTTAACAAATATTAGAACAAAGACATCCAATTAAAGTTACTTTACCTGACCCATAGCCCTCTTCTCTTCCTCCATGACTGCCTGATCTTCATTCATTAACACATCATCATCCACCTTCTCCCCATCACCATCCTCCTTTACAAAGGACAACTTGATCTCATGATCTATCAACTCTTCATTGGTCTTCAAATTAACTGATTGTAAGTCTTCTAATCTGGAAGTTGTAAGAATTATAAATCTATACATATAATAAAATTGTAACTAAACCGAATCTGTACATTAAATATTTTTTGGAAAATCTTATTCAAATAGACATTATTATCGATACAGAGGCTGAACATATAGTTTTTAGAATTTTTGTGTGTCTGTCTGTTACCGCATCACGGAAAAACCACTGGACGGATTTTGATGAAATTTGGTATGATGATAGCTGGTTATCCGGTTCAACATATAGGATACTTTTGACTGCGGGAACACATTTTTAAGATAAAAGTTTAACTTAAATATTTTTATATTAATACCCTTTCTATAAAATCAACTATTCTGTGTAAATATAGACTTTAATATTTTTATACCATTTTAAATAAAACTTTTCGGATTTTTTCGCGGATTTATTTTGATTTTTGGTTCCTGACGTTTCGAATGCTTTATAGCAAAACATTTTTTTATTGTATAAGGTACTTTGGTGTCATTTTTGTATTTCTGAATACATTTTGTAATTTTGTGCATAGGCACTGTCTGTTACAACTATACAGCCTTTGAGACGTCTAAAACCTTAGTCTCTTCCGTGACCATGATTAGTGTAAAACATTCAAAACTTCGGGAACCAAAAATCAAAATAAATCCGCGAAAAAATCGGAAGACATCGTTTTTTTTAAAATGTCAAATATTTGCGTAAATCTAAGGAAGTATTATTCTTACACCATTTTTACATTAAGAATATTATTAAAATATAATATTTACCTGGATTTTACTTCCTTCAAATAATCCACTACAGATGTTCTCTTTTGATTATCATCTTGAGATGGTTCAGTCATGTTGAGATTTTCTATAGTCTGATTACACTGTTCGGTCAATTCATTAAGTTTCCTTTCAATTTTGTCTTTAGCCGCCTCAGCTAACAGTGCCTTCTCACATAAGTTTGTATTTTCTATCAACATATTGCTTAAATGTTCTGTAACTTGTTTGTGTTTTTTAAGAAGTTCTGCATATTTAACTTTCTCTTTGTCAAGCTCTTCTTGTAATTTTTCATTATTCTGTTCGCTAATAGTAGGTAACTTGCCAAGTAGTTGAAGTCTGAGTTCATTTACTAAGTTATTTAACCTGTAAAAGGAATACGCATTGTATGACTGATATAGCATAGTGTGTCATGTATCTGATTGGCACAGCTCAAGGACATGTATTCAATTACTGTGAAGTTTGACTGAGACTTCAGACTATTAGAGAAAAACACGTAATAGAGTCTCATTAATGTGTATTGCTTCTTTTGTGTTCAATGAATATTTTCAAACTTTTGTAATACTTACAAAAGAAAAAATCTTAATAGAATCTTTTGTATGTGTGTCTATCTATTAATATGTCTATGTGCCTGTCTGTCCTGCTGCCATACCATGTTTTCTCATCATAAGACTCAAAGTAGCCGTATTTTTGAAATTAATTTATTTATGTATTTCATGGTGAAATGGTAATGCATGAATGATATTTGGAATATTAAATAAAAACTTTTAAACAAAAAAAATAAACAGACTTCAAACAAATGCACTAAAAAGTAAAAAATAACTGGTTGGTAGTTTTCATTTACTATACATACCAAATCAAATATTTTCGAAGTCAGTGTGTTTTGCTTTGTATGGGCTGGCACCGATTTCGAAAATATTTGATTAGGTATGTATTTAATAGGTAGGCTTTAATTACTTAGCCAAAGCACACCGACTTCGAAAATATTTGATTAGGTATTTATAGTAAATGAAAACTACCAATCAGTTATTTTTTACTTTTTAGTGCATTTGTTTGAAGTCGGTTTTTATCTTTTTGTTAAAAAGTTTTTATTTTTCCCTTTTTAGTGTAGACAGTAGTAGCAAAGTAAGAATTCTAGTGTTAGGCTTGTCAAATTAAACAAAATAAGCCCAATCTCAAAGTATCTACTATTAGTCGTTGAAGAGTTCAACCTATCCACCTTCTGGCCTTACCATCAGATCAGTTCAACAATACCGAACCACTGTACTATCAATGGAAATAGAAACACTTGCAAAGTTTCAAGTCAATATGACAATTAGAAGCAGGTTAAATTCATCATTAGCTATTTTTCCACCCTTAGGGGTGGTAATTTTTTTTTTTAATTTAAATGGGACCAAACTGGAAGTATACTCTTTCAAACAAAACAAAAATTGTCCAAATCGGTTGATAAATGACGAAGTTCTGAGGTAACAAACATTAAAAAAAAATACAGTCGAATTGAGAACCTCCTCCTTTTTGAAGTCGGTTGAAAATATAGCACATCATATGAGTATACTCATAATGAAAATTATACACTATCTTTTTCTGCCTTAACAATGCCACTTATAATTATAATAGAAAATATTGTGAAAGTTTCAATCGTTTTGTATGGTGTATTGTTTATATTAAAAGTAACATAACTCACGGTAAATCTTCGAAATCCTGAATTATTTTAGAATGTTTAAACTTCAATGCACCGTTTGTAATTAATAATACAAAAAAAAGTCTAGAACTGTTGTTCACGACTGTCATAGCATGTGTGAACTCAGTTGTCTCAATATAGACACTCTTCCGCTTTTCAGCGTAAATGTAGGCATATCTATACTAATATTATAAATAGGTAAAGTTTGTGAGTTTATGAGGTTGTAGGGTGTAATACTGAACCTATTTAGATGAAATTTGGTAAGAAGATAGTTTGAGACCCTAGGAAGGACATGGGATACTTTTTATCCCGGAAATTATCTCTTAAGGGGGTGAAAATGGGAATGAAAGTTTGTATGGGGAATCAAGCTCGGGACGAAGTATAAATCATATGAGTTGCTAGCATAATCATATAATGGACTAGGGCCTGATCCCCTTGGTATTGCTCGTGCCCAGCAGTGGGATACGATACAATCGTTTACAAACCTGAGTATCTCCGCAGCCTTCGCGTCCTGGTTGATGATGGGCTTGTTGCGTATGCGACGCGCGCGGTCCGCGTACCGCAGCGTGGACACCGTCTCGTCCAGGTTGTAGTCCGCGGGGCTTACGCACGCCACCATCAACGTCAGCGAGTTGCCGCCCAGACTGTCTGCGAGTTACCGTTATTGTTTGTATTTAGTTTATTATGTATTTTAATTTATATTATGAAGAATATATAAATTATATTATTTTTGCATTGTTTGTTAATTTCTACAAATCATGTAAGTATTGGAGGAAAGATGAATTTTGAGATATACACAGAGTTAGGTGATCCAATGACAATTTATTTATTTTGTAAAAAAAATCAGGCTTATGTGCTCGAATTATAATTTAAATATTTATGTAATACTTTTGCAATGTTAGGCATTTTTCTATATACCTTAAGTCATAAGTAAATTACTATATATGCCATAAAATAAAAAACTTTCTTTATGTGAATCCAACTCACACTTGACTTATATACCTATGTATATTTTATTAGTTAATTTACCTTGTAATAATCTAGTAAGCTTGCTATCTCTATAGCTAATGAAGCTTCTGTTGGTACCATCTCCAAGTGCTGATATCACATTGCCCAAAGCAAGCAATCCTTGGTTAATCTTAACTCCTTCTTTCAAGCGCTCCCCACTCGCTTTCGTCTTCTTAATACGTTCAGAACCAGCTAAATCCACTAAATGGAACTTTGATGTTGTTGCTATGTTCCTAAAACATCATAGAAATTAAACAAAATATTATTAGATAATAGAAAAAAAAGAAAAAAAATTGGATTAAAATTTAAAACCTAACAAAAATTACTCAGAGACAATGACAAACAACTAGGACAAAATTGGTTATCATAAAATATACTGTATACCCCAAACATTCTCATTTATATTTTAAGATATAAAAAAGATACAAAAATAATATTGTTTCTGCTGAAATTCTTTCTCTCTGAGACTTTATCTTTCTGAACTGGTGGTAGGACTCATGGACATTTAAAAAAATTGTAATCAGACGACGTCCTATCCTAATGATCTAGCTGTCAAAGAAAATCAGCTTGTTGAAAATATTATTTAATTTGACTATTTGGATTGAATCTTGTAAATATCTATTATATACTTGTGCAACAATGATGCTTTGCAATGACGATTAATAGATGCTTATTATTGCATAGTATGTATGGCTACACATTCGGACGTCCTGGGTTCGAGGCCCAGATCGGGCAAATTTAGGTCTTTCTGTTAAGTCCTGGTAACGGTTGGGAAGTTGGCGGTGTTTCACTCCCGTGCCTCGGAGAGCACGTAAAGTTGTCGGTCCTGCGATTGAGCTCTCACCAGGCGTGTGGAATTCTCGTCCCGTGGGGAATTGAGAGTAACAGGAATAGAGAGTGCAATGGTGTCTACATGAACACTTGTGCACTATAATATCTCCTGTGCAGTTGGCTTATCTCAGAGAGATCGGTTGCCATGGACGAAATCGTCCAGGAGGACATCACTAGTTGCTAATATTAAAAAAACACATTTAAAGATACAAACTTGTCACTTCGGCTCTCTTTGGCTATAACAATAGTAAACACGGCATGACTTCTACTAGATGCTTGATTCATAGCTGTGGATCCCGTGACACGTCCCGATGAACCGCGCTCTAAAACCATCATAGTTTCCATTGTTGATGTCACTGGTAATTCAGTAATACCTAAAAATAAATATAAACAAAAATAATGGTTATTTTATATTAACAGTATGGAAAAGACTATATTATGTATAATATATAATATTTTAAATTAATTATTTTCAAACACCTTAAGGTTGCCTGGAAGAGATCACTGTTTTAGTGATAAGGCCGCCTTTTGTACATAGCTCTTTTTATATTTTTCTTGTACATATTTCTTTTTTTCTCTTGTGGGTGTACAATAAAGAGTATTTATTATTATTGTTTTCTATACATTTATGGATAATACTATATTGTCAACATAAATAACTATGTTCTCTAGACTAGTGAAGATCTGATATGAAAAGAGAGTACAAGACTGGACCAAGGATAAAACCTTGTGTGACTCCTGCTTCCATGCCATGGACGTATTGGGGTGTGACATAGGTTGTGATATTCTGTGGGATATTTATAGGCAGCAAGCCAAGACCAGCTATTATTATTCAACATTAAATGTGAGTTATTCGGATATAACATTTTTTAAGAACACACCTGGCAAAATAACTCCCTTGTTGACATCTTCTCTAATCTCAATAATGCTGTGGTTCCTTTCCTTTCCAGAGAGTAAATCATAGCATTGTTCCTGGTACAGTTCCATAAATGAAACACTCACTTTAAATATAAACTTGTCTTCATGCAGCTCTATGAAATCAAATATATCAGCTACAGCTTGGGGAATTACACCTGTTGAGAAAAAAAAATATTTATTATAATCCTTTTAAATATACTAAATCATCAAACTTATTTTCTAAAATATAATGGTAAAGAGCTTATAAACTATACTAGAGTTCATTAAATCACATTTAAAATTAAAACAAAATAACTATGATTATAAACAGTATTATCATATAATTATAGCTAAAATAAAATAAACATATATATATATATATATATATATATATATATATATATATATATATATGTATTAATTTATAAAAATTAAAAAAGGACTAATATGCCTATGAAGCATACCTAATTTTGTAGAGTCACCATCAGATCCAGAATAATTTGTTCCCATAGTATAGGTTTTGCCAGAGCCTGTCTGGCCATATGCCAATATTGTTACATTATAACCTGTAATAAAAATTATATTGATAAAATTACTTAATATATAATACTTAAGTGTTCAACAAGACAATAAGTATTTATACTTGGTAAGGAAATTCTTTCAGAGTATTTTGTAATCAAAACTATGATGGTCAAAATCTATGGTTGATGATCATAGTAAAAATCTAATCTTTGGCATTGCAAGTTCATTTTGACTACTTAGTGCTTTTATAACAAAATCTCTATAATATAGTCATTAAAGACAGCAAAAGAGTTTAAATTTCTACAACTATTACACTTAGAAAATATTTTTTTCTAAATATTGCTTAAACTTTCATCCAAACATTCATATACCTACATAATCTATTAATATTATAAAGAGGTAAAGTTTGCGAGTTTGTGAGTTCATGAGGTTGTAGGGGGTAATCTCTGGATCTATTGAACCGATTTAGATAAAATTTGGTAAGAAGATAGTTTGAGACCCTGGGAAGGTACATAGGATACTTTTTATCCCAAAAATCATCCCTTAAGGGAGTGAAAATGGGGATGAAAGACTGTATTGGGAAGCAAGCTAGGGATGAATCCCAGCGAAGCTAGGGATGAACCCCAGCGAAGGGAGGGGAGTCACTAGTATCCTATAAAACCATAAGATCCCTTAAAAACATCCACAATTCTTTTTTTATTTAAAATAAAAATGTAAAACTATCACAAAGATGCCACTAATTTTAAAAGTAAAGATGAGAAATATTAGTAAATAGTAAGTAAGCACTTACCTTGAAAAAGTTTTCCAATGAGTCCTTTAACGGCAGTGTCATAAAATTCTTCTTGATTTATATGTTGAGGAAAAACATAATTGTAAGTGAATGATAAATCTTTAATTTGCACCTGTGGCTCTCCTGGCACCACATCAATACATTCGTCACAACCTCTATCGATTTCATTTCGCATCAAAGGTCTTATCCTAAGTGCAACTTGCACAGTGTCAATAGTAGCTTTATTGGTTTCCCCTTCTACCATTTTGGCTATTTTATAATATGTATGTTTAAACGTAGACCTCGGCTCCAATGGTTTTAATATTTTTCATGTCCTTATCATGACCGTTAATCAGGAAACTGTCAGCTTTTGTTTTTAAAATAAAGACTTGATTCTAAATAACCAGTATTTAGTTTAACTGAAAAAGTATTTATATATAGTATAATAACGATATTTACAAAATAATGAAATAAATATTGTGTGAAACCAGATAAATTTAACAAATAATAGCAGCAAAGGGACAATTAAATATAAAAAAATATACATATTTCGTTTTACCAATATAAACAACCACCATAAGTAAAACTTACACAAAAATTTTAATCAGCGTCAAAAAATAAATATGATTATAATTTTTAGGAAATAAATGAACTTCAAACATCACAGTTTCAAAACTTTCGAAATTATCAATTTACAAGAAGGAACGGTTGTTTAATGTATTCCAATTTCCAGTAAACTTTCAAATAAAATGTTGCTATTTAAAAAAAATGCTAATATATTAAGTGCAACCATTCAAGTGACGATGATTTTTATTTATTCTAAAAAAATACGTAGTCTGTTTTATATAATATACTAGCAGAACCCTCAGCTTCGCTCGCGCTAAAACTACAAAAAACTCTAAAAAGGTAGTTTTCATACAAACTTTCATCCCCCATTTTACCCCATTATGGGATGAATTTCGGAAAATGCTAAAAAACGTATTTAATTAATTGTATTGAAGAGCATTTATACCAAGTTTCAAGTAATTCTGATCATAAATAATTCTTTGCTCATATAAACTTTATTACCCACTTTTACCCCATACGGGATGAATTTCGAAAAAAATCAAATAAATAATTTCCTTATTTTTTATCTTAAAGCTAAACATCTCTTTATTTGTATTTCATATTAAGTATGACACAGTTTCAAACAGTCTTTAATCCCCTATTTTACCCACTTAGAGGATGAATTTCAAAAAATCCTTTCTTCGGATGCTTACATCATATAAGGAATTCGTCCTCCAAATTTCATGCTTCTAAGACGAGTGGTTTAAGCTGTGTTGTCCATTAGTCAGTCAGGACCACCACAGGACCTCTCCTTTTCAATTTTTTCTTCAGCTGGACAACACAACAGAAACAAAAAAGCAGGTAGAAAAGAGTTATCATAACCTAACCTTAGACTGAATGTAAACAGATCATACGTAGCGCCCTCCTTTTAAGAAATCTTCCCCATTACACTTTTTAGCCTTTCACTATCATTATCTAGTTTATGCTGGTCTGAAGAGAATTTTGACGCATTATAAATTCCTACAGGTTACATGCGTTCCTACAGGTTATATCATACATGGATGACAAAACTAGGCGTCGCTGTGTAAGTTGTAACTACACTAGCTTACATTAGCTTCGCCATGCACCATCCTACTGGAAACTTCATCGTATATATATTAGTAAATAATGTAAAAAATATTTTAAAAATTAGCTTTTTGTAATCTAAAATCAAATTGTTTTTTAATTATGAAAAAGTAGCCTAGAAAAGATAAAATAAAATAACAATGGTATATATCCTTTTATTTTACCTATAATTTTAAAGCTCTTTTGGTATCTTTTTATAATCTGTAACCTTATTATTTGTCTGTCTATGAATTGTTGTCAAACCTTGAAAAAACGGAGCGAAAATCTCAAAGTTAAACAAAGTTTTGTAAAAAGTCTAAATAGAAATAGAATTTTGTTTTGTGTTGGAATATCATGGAACAGTTGATAATATATTAAGAAATTATGCATATTACTTACTCTCTTAATTGCTAATCAAGCATGAGAGGTTTTTAAGTTACAATAACTATTTCGTCATGCCTCCTAAAACCCGAGGAACTAAAGTTTCTAAAGCTACAAAAGAGAATCATTGTGTTTTGCAATCTAGGAAGGCAAAAGATGGTGGCCAAAATGTTAAACCAACAAGAAAAGCTTTAGCTGATAAAACAAATTCTGCATCAGACGACAACACTTCTATACTTGCTGAAAATCTTCCCAAAAAGTCAACTTCTACAGAGTCCAAAAATCAAAATGAACTAAATGATTTAAGACCACGTCGCGTTAAAAAGCTTCCCAATCGTTACATTGAAAATATATTACTTAATGATGCCCCCATTAGCAAAGACAGTCGTAATTATAAATCTAACGATAATTTAAATTCTGGCCCCAAATACAAGTCACCTGAAACAAAAAAGCAACCTATTCTAGTTACAACCCCATTAAAAACGAACGTCTTGGATAACAGCTTGGTAAATAATCGTCCCAAACGAATTTGCAGGTTACCAAGTAAGTTTGATGACCATTCCATTAGTCCTAATAAATTTATACCTGTAAAACCTATCAATGCCAGTACTCCCTTAGCAAATAAGGCTAAAATAATAAGTAAAGAAAGTATAAATAAAGTGCAAACTAAAACAACAAAGACAAAATCAGCATTACAAAAAGCAACACAATCTGAAACAGCTAGTAAGCAAAAAACAATAAAAAATTATTTTAACAATAAATCAGCAGCAGATACAAATAATAATGCAAAACAAAAGGAACATGAGAATAAATTTTCATATAAAAAGTGTGATTTAAAAATTTTAGACAAGGGTAATTCTGAAGATATTAAAAATAACAAAAAACCAATTAAAAGAGGTTCAAGTAAAATTGATGTTTATGAATTCACTTATGATCCAAATGAAGAACCACCTCCTGTAAAGAAGAAAAGGAAAAAAACAGTTAAAAAACCTACTAAACCCAAGATTGAATCTGTTAAGAGTAATTATGATAGGAATTTAGCTAAGGCCTTAGCGGCTTTAAAGAATACAGTCTCTATGAAACAATCTAAACCGGAAGAGATACAAAAGAATAAGTCAAACATAAATAGTGAACTTTTGAAGCAAAATGACGACCCCACTGTTACTTCGAGTAATAAACCAGATTCAAATATGAATGAAAGCATTGCTAATGAGAAAAAATATAATTCAGTAAGGATAGAAGATATAGCTTTGGCTATGCAACCTGATGATGATAATATCAACTATTCTCCAGTTAACTCACCAAATTATCCTAAATCTCCAGTTAACTCAAATTTAGAAAAACCAACTGATCCACTGAATTTACAAGATATCAGTTTCTTTGATGAAAATCCTGCAGCTAGTAGTAGCATGAATACTTCTATCAGGCAACCCGTAGCTAGCCCATGGAGAGTAGACTTTGAAAGCCTACCCATAAAGTGGCAAGTGAACACTTATGTGAAACCTAATCTGACACCAGCCTTTGAATGTTCTTTTATTAATTTTAATGATAGCAAAAAGAAACATGTATATACCAATATGGTGCCAGAAGCAAATGAATCCCTACCTCAAGTGCTTGAAACTCCTAATTTAAAGCAAACCAGTATAATTTCCTTTATTCAAGAAGTTGTTGAAAAAAGTGAAAAGAAAAAGAAGAAAAGTAAAGGAACACCAGTCAAAGCTCATTCTCTATTTGAAGATACAAATGTGTCACTGTTAGAACAATCAGTAAATAATACAAGTGAGAAATCAAATGAAAATATCGCTCCAACTCATGAAGTTCCAGTTGAAAATATAAGTAATACTACTTATTTATCAACACACAATGAAAATGTTGATGATAAAAACCAAAATGATAAATCTGAAGAGAACAATACATATTTTGGATTTGATGAGTCTGACCAAGAGAATATTTCACCTAAAAAGAAAAATAAAGCTAGATCCCTACGAGCTAGAACTAGAGGTATTTTGCAAGAACTAAATGAACAGAAAGGCCCAATGCGAGCAATGATACCAGTTACTGCAAAATCAAAACCGACACAAAATGCTGTAAATGAATTATTTGATGGAATGAAATCAGCAACAGAACCACCAGTTTTTCCCGAAGCAGCTGCAAATGGTAGCACTAAAGTTACAATAACCGAACCAACATTACCAGAAAATGGGGAAAATGATGACTCCCAATCAGTACATTTGTTTGAAGATATAGATGTTGTACATCATCTCAAGGTAATGTTTTTAGTAAATACGAGTATACATTCAAATAAAACACTTTAGAAATTAATTTTTTAGACAACTATAAAACTCTAATTTTAAGAATGAAATATTTTAAACATTTTATTTATATATTCATAATAATTATTCATCTTGAATGAATAAGATATTTTACTATTAATTATTAAAATAGTTTTTAGATATTTATTTATTTAAACTAAAATCTACAGCTACATACAGAAATAGAAAGTACATTAGAAAAAAGTCCTTACATAAGGCAATTTTGGATTTTCATTATTAATGAAATACAGATGGATAGACTAAGCTTACATAATATATTAAAGAAGAAAAACAATAACAAAAAAACATTTAAATAGACAAAAGAAAAAAAAAACAGCATTTTAGGGATACTGCTATTCTTTACTCTATTTACTAATATATTTTATGAAAGCTATATATAAAATCTTTGATTTTCAGCCCACTCGCAAAAGTTATGGTAAGCCTAAGAGGGTAGCGTTTCATAAGAACTCATTAGATAGTGACACAAGTCCGATGAGTGATCTTGACCATGCTTCAAGTGACGAGGATTTAGATGATTTGTCATTTAAATTGCCTTCTGTAAAACAGAAAAGGATTATCAAGAAAAAGAAAACAAATAAACAGAAATTATCCAAGAAGGTAAGACAAGATAATGAATACTATATTAATTAATATCGATTTAATCATTACAAGTTACTCCCATCCCATTATTTATATACTACTAGCGACTCGCTCTCGCTCCGCTCGGGTTCGTCTCTACTTACGTTTTAACTTTTAGTATAGATTTCTCAGAGATGAGATATTTTCCCGCAGTAAAAAGTTATAAAATAAATGTGAAAATATGTTTGTATGTTTGTCTTTGTTTCACGTCGAAACGGAGTGACGTATTGGCGTGATTTTTGTTATGGAGATAGTTGGATGGCGGGAGAGTGACATAGGCTACTTTTTACTGTGGGAGATTATCTCATTACCACAGGAACACATGTTATGATACACTCCAAAAAAATATTTATGATCAGAATTACTTGAAACTTGGTATTAATGCTCTTCAAGAGAATTAAACAAATAGTTTTAGGATTTTCAAAAATTTATCTCATAAGGTGGTAAAAGGGATGAAAGTTTGTATGAAATCTACATTTTTATAGATATTTTTTGTAGTTTGAGCGCGAGCGAAGCCGCGGATTCTGCTAGTTTATAATATTAGTATATACACTATCTATACATATAATAAAATTATAACTATGCTGAATCTGTACATTAAATATTTTTTGGAAAATCTTATTGAAATAGACTTTATTATCGATACAGAGGCTGAATCTATAGTTTTCGTCTGTCTGTTTGTCTGTTACCGCATCACAAAAAATACCACTGGTCAGGTTTTGATGAAATTTGGTATGATGATAGCTGGTTAATTTTCAGGAAAAAGAAGTAGAAGCTTGGGCCGCAGGCTTCAATTCCATGTGTGAAGAGATTGAGGAGTTTGATTTAGTAGTAGAATAACACTGTATTTCTTAATTATTATGCTTAAGATTAATTTTATTAAAAGATTTTAACACAAACATACAAAGGTGTAATTATGATACTCAAAATAGATTTGACAAGAAAATATTTCAACTTCATGTCGTAGTGTTCTTTTTAACCAACTAAAAAAGGTGAAGGTTCTTAATTTGGCTACATTTTTAAATATTCTTTCAAGATCACCAGCTGGGCTTATCTGTAGATGGCCTAAAAATTTCATCAAAATCACTCCAGCAATTTTTGAGTCTGTAGGTAACATACATACACATATTGATTGTTATATACATAGATATATGGCTAAACTACAGTGGGACCAACTTCATTATAAATTCGAAGTTCTTTTAAATATATTTTTTTAATTTATTTTATCAAAATCATGAGTGCCATTAAATGTAAGTTTCAGTTCTGCCGTCATAAAAAAGAAGGCCGCAACTTCGTCAAAGTTGATTTCGAGATATTTGAAGTTTTGTCTTAGTACTTAGTAGTAGCTTAGACATAGTTACGATGAAAATGGTTATGGTATCTTCGGATTCATAAGACTTACGAGCTTTTTAAGTAACACTATCAAGTAGCATTTTTTTACTGATTCCGAATCTGCTTCAGTCATTTTGGACCAAATTGTTAGTTAGGGCCGTCTTTATAATGACGGCAGAGTTTTAGTTGCTATTTTGGGAAATATTGAATCAAGATTTTATCACAACGGGTTTTTATTTTATTTGAAAGTTAAATATTTAAGTTATTATTTTAAGTTAATGACGCCGGAGTAACGTCTTTTATATAGTATATTATTCTTTATAATACTTAAATTATGTGATTATTATTTAAAAATCTCTTATTGCATGGAATTAGTAATTTTACATAAGATTGTCTCAATTTTTGTAATGTAAAATAATAATTTTATTAATTTTAATGACCGATTGCGATTTGTGCGTTTTTGCATTTATTTTTAAGACTAACTACATATAATTATAAGTCTATAATAAAACTGGCAAATTTTAAAAATGATTATTTATTTACCCAAAAAAATAACAATGGGGAATAAAAGTGAGGTCAAATAAACAGTGGAAGGTACACTGTAGAGAGATGAGATGGAATCATTTTTCATACTATAATATTATTATAGATTGAATTATGGTAGAAAATAAAAAATAATATTGAATTTTATACATTATCTTTATCACAGATCACTTATTACTTATATATTAGTACAATGCCTTATCCCATACAAAGAAATTGGGCAGCGCTAATTCGGGTTATTCTTCGGGTTATTTTTGTTTGCTTGAATAGATAATAGATGTTGATCAGCAAATACTTAATATTTTTTATTTTATAAATATGTGCAAACAGACGAAAGGTATTGTAACATTCATCCTGCATCATGCAAACGAATTTTAGTGGTTTTAAAATTTTTTAACAGTAATAAACAATAACTAACCGTAATAAGTAACAACTCATCATCTCCGCATTTCCCAATTACTTGGGGTCGGCGGAGTACATCTTCCGGACTGTTGATAGGATTTGGCAAAAGTTTACGACAAGCCGCCTGCCTGACATCAACACTCCTTGGGAATGCTATTGTTTCGTATATGCGATGTCCAGCACATCTAATTTAGATTTAGGTACCTATATAAAATTATCTAATGCAGGTAATAAACAACTTATAAAATGTAAAAGCGCCATCTTTGAATATGTACATCAAACCAATCATCTCATTGCTGATATTTCAATAATCATTAAAATTACGCAAATTTGATTTACGGGGGCATTATTGTATTGCCCTTTAAATAGAGTGTTTTTTTAAACCATAATATACTGTTTTGGGATAAAAAAAATTATTTTGTGTTGACACAAATTGAATAACAAATTAAAACATGTAACGTCATCTACTGACATTTATTTGAACTAAAGTTTCCTTGTTCGTGATGAGACCTCATGATAATATTTTGCTGCCACCTAGTAGAATAATTATGAATTACGTCGTATGTACGTTAGAGAAAAGTACGTAATGTTTCTATGAGAGGGCACTAAATATAAGTGTACAAAAATTCATTTTAATGACATTAAAATGAAAAGCCTAAATGTAGTTTAAAATAAAAAATAAAAAATACATTAGAGGATATCTATACCTTTGAAATTGTGGTCTATATAACTAGTTTATCAAATCACTTAAGATGGTGCTACAAGTATATTTTTAAATAAGTTTTCTTCTCACCACGAGATGGCGTTGCCAAATGGGTTGAAATAGGTGAAATACGGATTTTACGAAACGAGTAATTACTTTAAGGTTTACGTTAATTATATTCTTTTATGTTTATAGTTACACATATATAAAATATATATAGGCATAATTAATCATTATTTTATAGCACTGTACCTAATGAAAATCCCTTTTGGTAATTTGTATTTTGATATGAACATTCAGTATGATATCTATTTGTTAATTAACGGATGCTGAATAACAATTTTTAATTTAAAATATTTATCATTGATTCCCTATGATTTTTCTTGAAACTTTTGATTAATTACTGATAAAAAAAATTAAGAGTGTGTGTATCAATGTATACATGCGCAAGAACTGAACTTCTGTAGGTTATCGGTACTTTTATGACATTGAATTTCTGTTTTAAATGATTAGCATTAGGAGAGATATTAAAAAAATATTTTTTCTTATCGACTAAAAAAGGAAAACAATATTTTATTATTCACGTATTATAGATGTTGTTAAAATAAAATTTATTTTCCAATCATATGTTGTAATGATTCAATAAATTATATACTCCAATCATATAAATAATAATAAAAAGATGGAAATCTTTTAGTAATAATAAATGAAAAAAATATATACCTATTTATAATGTATAAAAAAAGAATTTCAACCAAATAATTTTTTAACAATATTCATTTGATGTGATTCCATCGCTCATTTAAAAATAAATGAAAGAAGTATTTTTTTATAAATAAACATTTTTATTTAATTTATTATTTGACATATTCAAATAATAGTTTAAATAATTTTTAATTGATTATTTATTCATTTCCGTAACAGCCGTTTCCGTTACCTAAATCGTAACGCCAATATTTTTTAACCTCATGACGCGCCTTAAGAAGTTTTACTTCAGTAATTAAATGAAAATTCTTGGCATTTTATGTCGCAAGATATTTGTAACGTCCTGGTTTTCCTGGCACATTGTTATATTATATCTTGTGTAAATAATATGCTATAATAACGTTTTTGTCTCCCAATCTCCCTCGTGTCTCCTCTATTCTAAGTGTTATTTTCGAAGCAATCAGCGCTTAACTGGCCTACTTTAAAGCCAAACAAGAAAAATATAATTCTATCTATAATCTAAATCTGAATTATTATCTTATGGACAGTTCATCTGTAATAAACAGATAACTTAATTAGTTTTCTCTACGAATATTCAAAACGGACAGATGTTCTGTGTTACATGGAGGTCTAAATACTGTATACCTAGTGTCATATTGTGTCATCTGTGCTTTAGGTAGCCTTCCTTTTTTTTTTAACGTTGGGAAATGCATTTACGCACGAGGTGTGGGACTCACCGGCAAAGCCAGTACTACCCACTAAAACCCAACAAAGCCTTCCCCCGTCTTAATGGGGCGTCGCAGGATCGCTTACGCATTCAACTACGACGCCCCGACGGCAGGTCTGCCGAAGCAGACCCCAACAACCACGGGGTTACTCCAAGGTCCACTCTGCTATCAGAGAAGTACCAGGAGCAACCCACATGGTACACCGCCCTCCGAAGAGGGCCGCCTCCCACCGCCCACCGAAGTGGGCCACCTCCCTGTGCGTTTCTTGGCTTCGCGCCCGGTTGGGTTGCCGGGCACTGCTGAGCCCCCCACCACGACAAGGTGAACGCACGTTGGGGGGGATATGTAGCCTTCCTACGTGTACACCTATAACTCTGCAAGACAAAATTTCTCAGAATTAGTCTAATCAACATTTGGGTTCGCTAACCACCTCCACCACTTCCGGAGCTTACAAGGTTTGTCGTTAACGGATACGTCAAGAAGGACATCATTATCACGAACATTATGTCATGAGTGCTATATGTCAGACTCTCGTATATACTTACTTAGGTATTATTATTATCTATGATTCAAACAATCAAACTTATATGACAAAGCTTTTACTCTCACATTGTTGTAGCTCTTGTCATTTATCAACATTAAAGTATTTGTATAATAGTTTAAGAACATCACTGTTTTTAAATCTGTTCATTACATAATCATTATTATTTATTTTTCAATTAGTAATAGATAATGTGTAAAGAATGATGTGGAAGAATTTGGATTTATTTGTAATAAGGTGAAAAGCATTGTGAAAATTATCAAACGTACTTACCGTCACTAACATTCACTTTGTAAATCCCAAGTATACTCTAGCTTTGTAATTATAGTTTTTATTATTTGAATTCACAGCATTGTCCGCGGCTCCACCCGCGTTCAGATGGCCTAAAACGAAATTCTGTGGTTTTACATATTACTATATTCTTACATTGCAGTTTTTGTATTTTTTTTCTCAGATATGAGATATTTTCCCGCGGTAAAAAGTATCCTATATGTTGATCCGGATAACTAGCTATCACCATACCAAATTTCATCAAAATCCCTCCAGTGAATTTTCTGAGGTGCGGTAACGGACAGACAGACAGAAAAAATTAAAAAAAAACTATAGATTCAGCCTCTGTATTGAAAATAATTCTAATTGCAATAAGATTTTCCAAATAATATTTAATGTACAGATTCGGCTTAGTTACAATTTTATTATATGTATAGATTAAGTATGATTGCTCTAGTTTTGTTATATGAAACCAATGGAATTGCTTTACTGCTGTAAAATAGGTATGATACAAAAGTAAAATGCATGTTTAATCTTTACATAGTATAAAATGAAGTCGCTTTCGCTGTCTGTTCGCTGAGATCTTTTAAACTAGGTACTCAACGGATTTTAA